GGGCCTGAGATTTTTGGCCATGCAACACATTGAATAAAGCCCCTGTGAAGCCACTAAGAGCAGACAGGGTGCTGATGCTCACCACAGGACCTGCTCATGCAGAAAACAGCTACAGCAGTGGATCTGTGTTGCTTCAGGTCCTTGGGGGACACTTCCTTGCAATAATAGCATGGGGTAGCCCAATACACAAGAAAAGTCAAATATGCTAAAAGCAGCCAAAAGCATCTGTTGTGGACAGTAAGTTCATCTCTGGGCTCTGCTGGGTTTCAAATCCCCACATACTGGATCATTTCACAGGGACCAGTGTACACAGATTAGTGCAAAGCAGTGCAAAGCGTGCTACTCCTTCACTGTAAATTTGCAAAACAAATAGCAGCAGGAGGGAACCAATACATGGGGCTCACTACTGAAAGACTGAACTAGGTCAGCTGAGATCGACCTAAAATAGAGTCCAGAAGGATTCTGATGGATCATCTCTGGGTGCCATGGCTCAGTAGATTTCATCCACGTGGACTAGAGAATATTCTGCTGCAATGGAGTACTGAAATCCAGCTCTCCACACCTCCTGCCCCACCGTGGGCTCCTCTACATGCAGCTCCACGTGGAGCTGCACGTGGAGACCTGCTGTGTGGTGCCCATGGGCTGCAGGGGAACAACCTGCTCCAGCACGAGCCTCTTCTGGGCTGCAGGGAACTTCTGCTCTGCACTCAGAACAGCTCCTGCCTTCCTTCTGCACTGATCTCGGTGCCTGCATGGCTGCTTCTCTCCCATTCCTCACCCTTCTCTCCCAGCTGCTATTGATCAGCAGTTTTCCCTTTTCTTAAATCTTTTCTCTCTGAGGCCCACCAGCATCATTCATGGCTCAGCTCTGGCCACCAGCGGGCCCTTTTTGGAGAAGCTGGAGCTGCCTCTACTCTGACATGAGACAGCGCTGGGCTCTTCTCACAGAGGCCACCCCCACAGGCCCAACAACCAAAACCTTGTCAGGTAAGCCTCATACTGTACCATAACATACTGTACAATAACATACCGTTAGCATTTAGCTTACCTCTTTCTTTCTTACTAAACTAGACATTACAACACAGAATTGACATGAACCAATGCCAGAGAAATGCAACTTAGTTGACACGTGTCAATCTGTTCATCTGCCAGATCATTAACACAGACCAGAGACCTGGTCCTTTGCTGCCAGAGTACCAATGGGAAATGTTCTTTCCTCTCTCCATCTGATTAGAATAAGTGCACACCCTCCAGCTGTTATGAAAAGTGCTTCCCTCCCCATTAACACTACCATTCTGCCAATAGTGCCAGCCCCAGTAAATCCCAATCTTTCCAAACCTGCTTCTCCTCATTACATTGCTGCTGCTGCTTATCACCTAGCTCGTAACTCATTTTCTTCCCCTTGCTCCTCTTAAAATATCTACTGTCAACTCCACCCCTCCTGTCTGCATTCATCTCAGACAAAAAGTAACAACCCAAATGCCTCTCAAAAAAATTTGTCCCTCCTGGCTTCGACTCTGCTCCAGGCTCTCCCTGCTTCCTACTGCTCCCGGCTACCTTTTGCCTGCAGGCAACAAAAAGGTGTCTTAACAAATAATTGCATGGACACTATCAGGAAAGCTACTGCAGAAGTTGCCGCCCTAGGCCAGCCCCACCTGTCCCTCTGGCTCTGAAGAGTCCCAGAGGCTTCAGAAGATTGGTGAAAATTGTGAGTCAATCTGCCAAATGAAACAGATGCTCATTTAGCAACACACAAATGCAATCTGCTTACTGCAGGTTTCTCTCCAGAACTGATAATGGCTGGTTAATTTTTTCACGGTTTTTCAGATTTGGAATAAATTGCACATGAAAAATTTCATGGGTTTCTTTGCATCAAAAGAAAAACCAATTTGACATATTAACTGAGAGTATTTGGAACTGGGAATACTGCAAGTTTGTGCTTATTCCACCTGTTTGTCCCAGTGCATCAGGACAATGGTGGGGAGCAAAGAGTAGCCCACATCTGCAGACTATGTGCCATGGCACATCTTTGCACTAACTAAATGCCAGCTCATGGTCAAGACTATTCAAATCAGAAGACAAAACTACCATCCTTAGGCAGTCTGACCCAGATGCCTCCCACTCAAGGCTTACACTTGACCGTGGCTGACTTGCAGGTACTGGAAGCACAGGCGTTTTCAGAGGACAGATCTTACTGAATCTAAGCTCTGTACAGATACTGATATCTGCCTTGACTACAGAGGGCGAGGGACCAGAAGTCCCTAGAGTAGGCAGGGAAAATAGGGCAGGCAGCAACGCAGCCTTGTGACTTGCATCTCAGTACAAAGAGCCAGAAGCAGGAGAGGAAACTGGGAAATAAAAAGATAACACTGTCACCATCTGAAATAATCCTAAGTATCAAGCAGAATCTGAAAGCTGTATATTCTACTATTCAAGCATTTGCCCTATATGCTGACTTTGTCAGTCTGGGGGATCTGTGCACATAAAGATTGTGACTCCATATTATTCTGTTAAATCTGGCCTAGAAAAGCAAAAGTAAACAGAACCCAAATAGCCCAGAAATAAAACAAGGAAACAGCAAACACCTTGTAAGAAACAAAGTTAGAAGGGAGAAGGGAAAGCAGAGTCTGCATTCCTCTGCTGCTAAATAATACATAAAGGACGAGTGCCCTTAAGAATGCTGTTGTTTGTTTCACTGTAGCTCTTTCTGATCTTTCTGATGGTTTTCAGTTTTTAATGGAGCATTTGGCTTTGTTGGACTTGAAAAGACGGCATACATTGCATTTAGTTTCCATTATTTGTTCTTCTCACATGATAGTTTTCTTCCTCCTCACACTAGAAACACAGAGGCCACATTTTAACCTGCCTTCATAACAGATATAATACAGAAAATGGGAATTATCTAAAGGGGGGGGGGGGAGAAACAAAATGAATAATCCTTTTTCATGTTCCATGTAAATACTAACACCTTTCTCTCTCCTCTCCCCCCCCTCCCTCTGTCTGACCCAATTTTCCTTAAGCAGAATGTTTCTCCGAGGCAGGCACCTCTGAGACTGCAAACTTAGCAGATAGTACTGAACATGAGAGCACTGCGCTTGGAAAATCAAGTTTAAAGCTACTATACTTGTGGCATTAACATTTCTGGTGTACTGATAAATTGCTTGTTCTTTCTCTTCACCAGAACTTCTCCCTTAGCTGTGCTCACACGAAAGAACAAAGCAATTCCAGCAGCAACTGTATATCTCAGGACATCTATCCAGCCTGCCTAAAAGAGTATCATACTCTTCTGAACGTTTTTGCATATGTTAAATCCCTTCCTGCTATATATAGCCAGTAAGGGGATACAAATTATTCGCAGGACACCAGCAAATGTGTTCATTCCATGCTTTATTGCAAACAACCTTGCTAAATCCAGGATGATTCCCACAAGACAACACAGTCACAGGACATTTTTGAAGAGTTCCTTTCTTTTTCTCACTCTTAATTCTTGCACCTCTCACAAAACCAAAGCACCAAGCACTTCTTAAAACCGCAACCTGTAACACAACTGCTGCCATCATTTATTTGTGGTTCCTCGAAGTAATGCCTAAGAAACCCACGCCAGAGTTTGAACAGAAGACCCACCCTTCACACTGTCCACTTCAGCAGGTTTGTATTACCAGTCTGGCTCCACCCCTGGCTGGAGAGCAGCTTCTTATTGCATTTCAGGCAGAACATTTCTTCTGCACATCCTGGGAATGCTCCGCAAAGAGAAGAAAGGAAGACCTCAGATAACATCAGCAGCAAACCTCCACAGTTCCCACCAGCACTACAGCTGCACCCTGAGAAACTTGGAAAAACCTTGGTAGAAATGCACTTCTGGGCTTCATGTCGTGACACAATGCCACCAGTGTGACAAAATGGACAAAAGCAGCACAAGAACTTCACTGCAAATACACAGGTAGGCAAATTCTCTATTTAAACTCTGAACTGGCAACAGAACTAATTCATCACCTTCCCCTGTTTACAACAGTTTACAAGGCTTGTCTCCCTCTTCTATCCCTTTCCTCAGAGTATTTGTTTTCTCTTTCTAGACTTTGGTGTTTTTCCTATCTGTCTTCCTTTCTTCCCTTAGTTTTCCTAGGATGCTGTATTAGGGTTCTGTGATCACCATATGTATGCTATGCTGCTCACTGCAAACCACCGACTCAGCAAGTCCTGATGGTTTCCAACCTCCTTTCTTTCCTGGAAGATACACGCCTGCACACCACAGCCTTGTGGAAAAAATCATGTGGATTAGCGGCCGCATGTCTCACACATGTGCGGAGATAGCTATGAGAGATTTATAAATCTGACTGATAATCATTTTTGTTACACTAGAGTATAAAAAGCTCTGCTTTCTGGAAAGTAGATGATACCAAGCAGCCCTGAAGAAATCTGTTTAATTGCAAGTTAGTCCATGCAAACTTACACATTCATGTATCGCTCCTGCAATCCTCTGTACTTTGTTATTATGGATGCTTTGTGTTCTTATTGATCTCTACACCTTTCTGTACGGGTTTGTTCTTATGGCTATCTGGCTGAAGTCGTTGAGTATTCTGCTTTACCACAAATTAAGAGTAATTATTTTTCTTTAGCAAGATTTTTTATTCCAGGACTTTGCTACATATTTTCAACTCCGATGAGAAAGGTCAGACCCCACATGAGATGGAAAGGCCAAGGTAAGGCTCTGGGCTTTTCAGCACGCAGGAATGAGGTAAAAATACATTCAAACGATTCTTCCTTTCTGGAAAGCACGGGAGTTGCTCAGATTCTGTAACGGTACGCGGGTGAGTGTGTTGCAGCCCTTCAGACACACAGACCGGTGCCACTTCTTATAACACAGAATTATCGCCTTTCTTTCCTCTAATTAGCGTACATTCCCTTAGGCTGACAAGCGCGGGGCTCCCCCATCACAGCCCGCAGGGCTCAGCGCTGCCCCGTCCCGCCCCGAAGGAGCTCGAGGAGGAGAACCGCGGCGCCAGGTGATGGCGGCGGGCAAGCGCGGGGCAGCTCGGCCCCGCCCGAGGCCGCTGACGTGCGCTCCGCCTCCCGGCTTAAGGAGCGGCGGCGGCGCCTCTCTGTGGAGCCGTGCGCGGCGCTGGTTGAGCGGCGGGCTGCTGGTGGGGCTGCTCGGGCCGTGTTGTGTCACCGCGGGCGGCTTGGCGAAGACGGTAGGGTCGGGGCTGCGGCTCCCGTGGGTCGCCTCCTCACGGCTCCGCGGGGTGGGATCGTCCCTGTGGGGTCCGTGGCTCTGGGACCCGTGGGGCTGCTGCCCGCGCTGGGTTGTCTTCAGCCCGTATTGCAGGGCTACGTAGCGGCTCGTTTCGGTGCTGGCAGTAAGGAACGTTGGTTTACGTAATTAATGTCCTTGTTTTGAACCAGCCCGTTTATTGCCCGCTCCCTTCGGCGCTATCGGCGTTATACTGACGCTCAAAAACTCTGCGCGCCCGTACCTAGCGTAAATATAACGTATATAATGGCGTGTGGCGTGTTGATCTGTATTAACGTGCTGTGCCTTCCTGTTAGTCGGGGGCTGCCTTCGTTTGTGTCAGCGTGTTACAGCGCTGAAAACCCGAGCGCTGTGGAGCACGTGGGGAAGGAAGGCCGGGCCGCGGGGCTCGGGCCGGGCGCTGGGATGGGCGGCTGCCTGCTCCGCTGGGTTCTGCACGGGTTGCCTGGTTGTGCTGAGTGCGCCCGCAGGAGACGCGTGGTCCACATCCTCGCAGCCCCTCCGAGTGCGTGGCAATGCCGGGTAAACATTGCCCGACTCCTTCGGCAGTGGTCAGAAGGTAAAAGCGGGCTGGAGTGCTGTGTGAGCCCGCCAAGGGCTGGCTCTGTTCCATCCAGGTACTTTGGGGTTTCCACCCAGCCCGTGGCCGCATCACCGCCGCCCATGCGGCTGGCCCTAACGTTGCACAGACTCGCTTACTAACGGTACAAGTGAAACGGCGGCTTGAGTTCGTGTTTGCCAGTCCTCTTCTGAGGTTGGCAGGCACTGGGTGGAGCAAAGAGGACGTTCTTCCTATGAGTGCTGGGGGAATTGAAACTAAAAGTGATGTCGGGACAAGCTTGAGTGACACAAGCTAAGCATGCCTCCCTGTAGAAAAATGGAAATGCTACTGTCATCTTGGTAAGAGAAGGCAAAAATAATTCAGCCAATGATATTATGGAAGTTTGTAATGACTGACTTGAAATCTTGAAGTCTGTTGTTCATTGTGCGTATGTTGTGTTCAATCTAAGCAGGCTTTATCCTCAGTTAATTTCAATTTGAAGAACTTCTATCTGTGCACTGTACTCACATTAACGTACTTTTAAGGGCTTGTAGTCAGCGTGAGCTTTATGACCGTTGTCATTCTAAATTTTGTGTGTGTATGTATGTATATTTAAAGGAGATATATGTTCTGTAAATGCTAAGTACTAACACCATAGTATTTCCAGTGCTATAGTGTAATTAGGAGAGAGCAGCACCCAGAAGCCTTATTCAGTTGCCCTGTGGTGTAAAAGCTGTGCAAACACAGGCAGAAAGGTGGTTGTGGGTCCCAAGGAATTTGTGAAATAAACAGAAAGCAAGAGACTTTAAGTACAGACAAAAATATTTGTTTAATAAAGCACCTCTGAGTGCTCATACAAGTGGAAAGCCCATTATAAATTACGTTGATGTTGTAGTTCTTATTTCCTTTATGTCTCTCTGTAGCTTAGCTGCTGTTAATGTGAGCTGCTGGATTTAAGGATTAATGCTTCTACACCACTGAAAAGCAGCAATTGCCAGCTAGTAGATTCTCCTTCCTAAAATGAGCTGTTTTGTGACTACCAGCTGCAGTAGTTTTTATATAGTAATTGATTTCAATGATGTATTTGTTCTTTTTTTTAATTTTAAGAAAAAAATAAAAGCTTTTGCTGCTGTCAGTCAGGAATAGCCCTCTGAAAGGCTGCTGCAGTACTACTACAGTGTTCCATGAACTATTACCTGGGTCCCATCTTGACAATCAGTTTTCTGTTTTTTCCTTTGTTCCTTTCTGGATGGTTGCATGCCTGTAGCACTGTATGGCTTCCAGCATAGAAACGATGTTAGGTCTGATGCCAGTGGTGCTGTGCTCTGCTCTGCTGTGGGTTCCGAGTGCCCTGGGATTTCCCATTCAGGTCAGGCCGAGTAATTCTCATGCACAGGAGATGGAGCATGACATCAAGACGTCAGGTGAGAAGTATGGCATGATGTGTCTTCTGTCAGTGCCTGTCATCATCTAGCAGGGACCGGTGGCACTCTGTAAGGTGGTAGCACTGAACAGGTGAGGACTGGAACACCATAAGGGCAAGGTTTGTGCTCCTAGAAATTCTTACAGAGCTCATGCTGCTCCAGCATGTGACGCTCTTAGAAACTAGCTTTTCCTGCTTGGAGAGGGGCATGGCAGGTGTTGTTCTGAAGTTTCCCATATCCTGTTCCTAGTTGAGCAACCCCAGTTATGCCAGATAGGCTTGTTTCACCACTTGTTTTGCTCTGCCTCGGATCCTGTGTAATAAAACATAATTGTCAAGAGCACTGTTATAAAAAGTAGGGCCGCTGTGACAGTAGAGTGGAATCAGGCTTGCAGACCCTTTAGAGCAAAAATTGATTAAAGAGTTTTCCTAATTGCCATCATTTCAAGCAACTGAAACCTCCTTTGCTTTGATCATACAGCTTTGTAACTTATTCATACGAAAGAAGGAGATGCTTCTCTGTTGGATTGTGTGGTGGGTTTTTTTTTTTTTTAAGTAAATCCTGAAAAAGACAATGAGTGTTTACTCGGCAGTGTAGACTGTTTAAGGAGGCTTTCTGTGCCTTGTTTGGGTGAGCAGGTAGGCAGGATAGAACAGGTGCATCAGTGTATCATGGCTTTGCAATGTATCACATGGGTCTTACTTCCGTGCATCTGGCATGTAGTGTGCATCAGCTTTTGGTTTCTGTAAACAGAGAGATATAGGAGATCTGGTTAACTTAGGATATTGTGATTATTTTTTCTTTTCTTAGAGATTTTGCATCTTCTTATTGTCTGAAAAAGATAACTCGGCAACTTGTGTTCATCTGGTACTGAAAATACAAGAGGAAAGAACAGCTGTATTCTCTAGGAATTTCCTGACTGTTTGGCAGAGTAACTCTAGAGATAGAGAAGCAAGTCATGCTATGTTTGCTTCTTCATTTGAAGAAGAAAAAAGAAAAAAGAAAAAAGTTAAAGTAAACTATATGCACTAGTGCATAGTATTTTGCACTGGATTTCTGTATTGGTGGCATTACTTGCTACATCTAGGCAATATTTAAGTGTATAAATGCTTTTAATGAGCTTTTTCCTAGCTTAGGGGAAAAAAAGAATGATTTCTTTATTTATCTATATGGTTATGAAACTTTCATGATTTGCTTGTACGTAGGAATGAAGAAAGAAAAATGAAAAGCTTACTTCAGTAGTGGCTGCATGAGTGGCCACTCCTCTTGCAGAGAGCAGCCCATCATCATGCTCTGCTTCTCAGCAAAAGCTCTGGCTTGCACGCAGCCTTGATCAGCCACAGTTTGGGCTCTTGCAGCCCAGTCCTATGGGAAAGGAAAGCAAAAGGAGAGGCTGCAAAGAGACCCCAGAGCCGAAATGCCTTGGAGCAGTCCAAGTCCAGAGATCGACTTTGTGATGGGGCACTGCAGATGGAGCAGGATCCCACGGGCAATCCTTTCATACTGTGTGCAATGCCTGGTGAGCATCCACAAAGACGCTGAGCACTCATGTCTAGTTATCTGTATCCTACTTGTCCAAATTCCGGCAGGATGGGGGATCATTGGGAGACTTGAGAGAAATGTACCAAGGAAGTTTAGATTGGATCTTAGGAGAAATCTTTCCACAAAGATGTTGCTCAAGAGGTTGCCCAGGGCAGTGGTGGAGTTGCCATCTCTGGAGGTATTTAAGAGGTCTGTGGTTATGGCTCTCAGGGACATGGTTTAGCTTTGGTAGTGTTAAGCGGTTGGACTTGGTGATCTTGAAGGTCTTTTCCAGCCTAAATGATTTTATGATAATCCAAGTAAGCTAACACAAATGGTCTTCACAGATACCTTAAATGCCTGAAGACTTTGCTGGGTGCACTTCCCATGTAGCATGTGCTAGAGAAGCAGGTAGCCCGTGCTCTGTCTTCCGTCCTGGCTCCATACTCACCTCCTGCAATACACTCTTCTTCAGTGACTAGGGGATGGTTGTCTACATGATCCTACCTTGTTTATTTTCTTCTGTTCTACTAACAGCTGCCTTTAAGCAGGTTTTGTCTTGGGACTGGTATTGTGCAGGTGTTGCTGTCGGTGTCTGTACGCTCGCTGTCTCACTGGCACTTCAGCATGAGTCATTTCAAAGCATCTCCTGGTACCTGACAGAAGAGGTGCATTTGTTGATAGAACTGAACTTGCAAAAACCTGTACTCAGAATGACCTCACACATCTGCCCAGGAGGATGCACCTGCTCCATCATATTCATGGCAGCAGTGTTTATGACAGGCACAATGGCTTGCCACAGAGAGCCTTGGCAGGGTGCACACTGATGCATTTAATTTATTTGAAAATAAACCAGTGATGATTTTGTTACAGAACTTCTCTCCAGTGACTTATTTTGTGGCTTCAGAAAATTACTACTTCCTCTCCCTTCCTTTCCTGCCAGAGAGCTCTCTAGGAGGGCATGCTCACCTGGAGGTGTTCTACACTTCAATGCAGAGCAGGTGATTCACATTGCAGCAAAGTGTCTGTTTTATTGCGGTGAGTAGTGAACCCTGACCTTCCTGTGCAGTGCTGCCAACTCGTTAGGCTCTGCAGATTCAAGTTCTTGCTCCTCCTTTGCCTCAGGATGCTGCCTGTTAGCTTACTTTGCCGTGTTTGTACACCACAACCACGGGACTATAACTCTGGGCCTTCTAATAGTCTCATCATTTTAATTGCATAATGGGAATGTGTGTTTTTTTGATTAGTCATGACTCTGGTGCCTGTTTGATGAGTTCTTCAGCTATCTTCCCTGAAGGGAAGGCTTTGTTTTCCCAAGAGCTGTGTGCTGCTTCCCAGAAGAAATGAAATTCTACTAATGAGGCATTAAAAGGCAAGGTTATAAGTTGTGTGGTTGGGAGTGTTTACAGGGAGAAGGGAAACAGCTAAGAAATACATTGCTGTGAGCACTGAGCG